TAACCCCTACCGTTTGGTACGTAGTATATATATATATATATATATATATGTATATAATATTTACATGATGGTCACAAACCCCAAACCCTAACACCCCACCACCTCTCTCCCCATACAGCCATGGATGACTATGCGCGTGCCGTGGCCTGGTGGTCTGCCATGACGGGTGTGCCTCCCACAGTTCTCATGTGCGATGCGACTGAGAATCTCTTCAACACCGTACGCTCGTGTACACATGCGCTTCCTTCGCGTGAGATAGTTGAGCACCACATGATGGACATGTTCTCCACCGTTAGTAACAGCATCAGCGCTGACATGCAGTTGGCCCATGCGTCCCTGGGGGCGTTGCCCTTCTGCCACACTATAGTGCAGGCGTCGGTATGTGTGTGTGTGTGTGTTTTTGTGGGTATGTAAGAGTGTGTGGGTGTGTGTGGGTGTGTGTGTATGTTTTTGTGGATGTGTGAGAGTCTGTGGGTGTGTGTGGGTGTGTGTGGGTGTATGTGTGGGTGGGGGAGGGGAGGGGGGGGATCTGAGGGTGGAAGATAGTTTGGGGTAGTGGTTTGTGTATGTGTGTCGTTGTATTGTATTGAGATGATAGGTCTGTTTCCAGATGGTGCATGCGTGGGTGTGCTCTGATATAGTGTGTCTGTTTGAGGGATGGACTTGTCGCAGGTGATGGTTGCACTCGGTTGTAGGGTAGCTATGTTTGTAAGCGTGTGTAGGATTCCATATCTCAGATATTTGCAATCGACATCTACTTCACAACTAAGTAATACTGCTGCAACCTAGGGATCTCTTAGCACATACATAGCAGCGTATTACCTGTGAGAGCACTGTTTATTCTCGAAAGTAACTGTTGCACAGTCACAGCCGCTCGTGAATTCAGAGAGGTACTGACAGCATTCGATAGACCAGCGGCCCAACCTTTGCCTGCGGCGTATCTTTTGAGCACGCGCTGATGTTATTTACTATCGTCAACGAGACTCGAATGGCTACTATTCAGCTGTCTACAATCCGACATAACGACTTCGTTTATATGTGCCTGTGTTTCTAGAGCATAGACTATCTGGAATCTGATAATCCCGGGGATTACATTTATAGCTGAACGTGGATGTATCAATATAGGACGTTGTGTGTTATTATTGGCAAGTCAATATCACGCGTATTTTCAGCAACGTATGAGCATCTGCAGTGGTACATCTGCTGTTGATCTTGGCACCCTTTACATGTTTCACACCCTTACCCATCCTTACACACTCATTCATTACACACCGTTACCCATCCTGACACACCCATACATTACACACACGTGTGCAGCCCTTCTACCAGTCGGCCTGTTATGTGTCCATGCACTGGACGCTAGTGACCCATTCCATCGCGTGGCAGGGTGGGGCACAGTCATACATTACACATCCTTACCCATCCTGACACACACCCTTACATTACACACCCATACATTACACACCCATACATTACACACCCATACATTACACACACACCCATACATTACACATCCTTACCCATCCTGANACCCCCATACATTACAGATACCGTCCACACGTGTACAGCCCTTCTACCAGTCGGCCTGTTATGGGTCCATGCACTGGACGCTAGTGACCCATTCCATCGCGTGGCAGGGTGGGGCGCAGTCATGTATTACACACCCTTACCCATCCTGACACACCCATACATTACACACCCTTACCCGTCCTCGACACCCCCATACATTACCCATACCTTACACACGTGTGCAGCCCTTCTACCAGTCGGCCTGTTATGTGTCCATGCACTGGACGCTAGTGACCCATTCCATCGCGTGGCAGGGTGGGGCGCAGTCGGTGGCGCAGATGGACCACAATCTGCTGCTCAAGAACGCCACAGGGCTGCCCATGCACGAGGTGTGCATCAGCAAGACCTGCACCACAGACCCAACCCAGGTATGGTTGGGTTTTCTCAGCTAACGTACGGTAGGGTTTTCTCAGCTTTGGTAGGGTAGGGTATGGCCTTCTCAGTTGAGGTAGGGTAGGGCTTTTTCAGTGGTGTACTTGGTAACAGTGGTGTGGATATTGCAGACAATAGGCGGTGTATATATATTACAGTTGTTATGGTTTGTTTGTAGAGGTTTGTGGGTGTTGCAGACATTTCGTGGCATATATATCTGACCGTTGTTAGGGTTTGTTTGTAGAGGTGTGTGGGTGTAGCAGACAATACGTGGGGTATGTATATTTCCGTTGTTAGGGTTTGTTTGTAGAGGTGTGTGGGTTTTAGGGTGTGTGGGTGTAGCAGACAATACGTGGGGTATGTATATTTCCGTTGTTAGGGTTTGTTTGTAGAGGTGTGTGGGTGTAGCAGACAATAGGTGGGGTATATATCTTACCGTTGTAAGGGTTTGTTTTGTAGAGGTGTGTGTTGCAGACAATAGGTAGGGTATATTTTTTCTACTTAGTGCAGTGTAGTATTAGGTGTGCACGAGCAAGACCTGGACAATAGACCCAACCGCAGACCGACATATGAGGTGTCGTAACTGTTTACACCTTGGAGAACAACTATTGTGCACTGATATTGCTAGTGTGTTCTGTCAAAGGGGCTGCAAGTGTTCTCTTCAGGCGTATGTGTTTTAATTTCAAATCGGGGGGCTGTGCTAGCAATACATGCATACACACGATTGTTCATGTAGACGTGGAATGGCTCGACATGTTTACACGAGGGTCTCAAGGGTGGGATAGGGTATATACTCGGTACATATTAGGACACATACGTGTGATATATACAAGGGCATATACTCGTCGCATATTAGCACCCATACGTGTGATATATATACAAGGTCATATATACTCGTTGCTTATTTATTGAAGAACCTCTGCTTGTCGTGCTTGGGGTAGCACCTGGTAGCTTCAGGGAACTGTGCTTCGAGCTGCGGAGAAATCGGGATGGTTTTTTGGGGGGTTGGTTTATAGTAAACCTCTTGAGGTCACGCTATCTCTAGTTGCACCAGTTGAAGCGTTTGCTATGGTATCATTGTGCGGTTTTTTTAGGGTTTAGGGTTTAAGGTGTTCGAAGTCAGGCGTGCTGCGGAACTCATTCGGAAATAGACACAGCACACATATTCCGGGCACCAGCCAGCCCTCCCATCTCCTGACCAAGGCTTTAAGTGCTATTCGCATATCTCACTGTCACAGCTAGATGGACTGTGGGGGGGTTCGGTTGGTAAACAGGGGGTTTGGTCAGCACACTGAGGCTCAGGGCTTTTAACCTTTAACCCCATAAAGCAGCCGCTGCTAATCCAATACACAGGTGCTGTGCCTGAGCATAATAGCGAACGTCTCTCAGTGCCAGTACATACCGGGCCGTCCTTCAACCACTAAACGTAGGCACTTCTTCTTCGCCATTCATCTGCTTAGGCGGCCCCCGGAAAACCACAGCCCTGCAGTTTTGTGTGCATGGCCCATCGACTACGGATGTGTGTCTCGCAGTCTCTGCTGAACTCACAGGCACACCGGGATCCACACACAGACCCAAACACACACCTACACACAAACCCAGACGCACACCTACACACAAACCCAGACGCACACCTGCAAACAAACCCGAATGCGCATACAGACACGCACAACACCTCCGCCGCTGCGCTGCCCCATATAGAGGGAGGGCAAAGCAAGCCCACGCCCTGTCATGTGGCCGATGCCTTGGGGAGTTTCTGTGAGCAGTTGGAGTGGTTTATCCGCCCGCCAGACACTGTGCGGATAAAGGTGCACGCGCACATGCTGCAGAAGTGCCTGCAGAGCACTGGCATGCGGATTGAACCGCTTAACATCTGCACGGGTGAGTTGTGTGGGGTGGAGTGGTGTCGTTGGGTTGTGCTTGCGGGAGATAGTACAGTTGGGTTAGAGGGGGCTGTCACGTACCTTTCCGAGTCTAGAAAACCATAAAAAAAGAGTGCATGGGGCAGTGAGTAGGTATCTGGCTTGGTTTGTGCTGACAAGGGTGGGTCATGTGGGTTCAACTGGGGGTGTAGGAAATAGTAGTCGAGCACCTTGGCGGAATAGATTACCCGTTAGGGTTTAGGGGTTAGGGTTTACAGCGGGGCAACAGGTGTACGTTCAGTCCAGTCCCGTTGCTTAGCTCAATGTAGGTAAGCTGTCCAGTGTTCTCGGACTGTGGTTACAAATAGCTCTTGAACCGCTGCCGATGAGGACATACCGATGCTCACCGCCGGTGATGACCCCAACGACGACCACTCCTCGGTCAAACATTGGGGCGGCGTATTGTTCTTACTTTACTCCCAAGTTGATCTACTTGAGGTGTATCTAATAGTAGCTTTAGACTAACCCCCCCCCTAACCCTGCAGACGAGGACATACCATTCACCTGAGGTATATCTGAATATATCTGTCAGCCCCTGAAGACAAACCATCCACCTAAACTACATCTAATAATACCTGACAACCCCCCTGCACCTGCAGACGAGGACATACTATTCACCTGAGGTATATCTGAATATATCTGTCAGCCTCTGACGACATACCATTCACCTAAACCACATCTAATACCTGTCAACCCCCCTGCACCTGCAGACGAGGACATACCAGTCCATATCGACGTGGACGATCCCGACGACGACCAATCACTGCTGCGCACCTGGGGTCGTATAGTACACCTCATTCAGCGCGACTTGGCCGTGGGCGTGGTCAACCAGGCCCTGCTGCGCCACATCTGGACGTACAAGGTGTTGCTGGATATGTACTACGACAGTGTCCATCAGTTCTGGTCCGCGTGTGAGACCGCCGAGAACACCCTGACGCACGAGAACGCGCACGAACTGATCCTATCGCCACAGACACTTTACAAGCTGCCGTGGGGTGCTGGTGATGTGGATAGGTACCAGGTGTGTGTGTGTATGTGTGTGTGCGTGCGAGTCTTTATAGTCTACTTGCCCGTGTAATCAGGTATGCGTGTTTGCCCGTGTATTTAGATATGTTAGCTTATATGGAAGTCATATCTGAAGCGAAAGTCAACGCCACCACAGACCGTGTCCCAGCTGCTCAAGACTGTGGAGAATAAGGATAAATACCAGGTTTGGGATTGTGAATCTGCTTATATACTTGGACAAATGCGATCAAATTTTCACGTCACCATGTGCACAGATTGTATGGATATCAGGTATGTGTGGACTAAACTCATTGTTATTTATTTCACATACCATGATCATCTCTCTGGAAAAGTGGGCTGAGGTTTCAGGAGCCGTTAGCTCACGCCGAACGCACTATATAAGCCATTGCGGAAAACGGGCAACATGGATTAGAATCAGGATGATGTGCATTTGTGCATCAATTCTTACAATATTATTTTCTTCCGTTTAAGTGTATAAAAGGTTCCGTGCATATGGGAAAGTACGCTACTTATCTCATAGTCACTGTAGACAAAGACCTATGTCTACTGGACTACCATTCATATGTGTGAGTAGTCACATTGATTTTTCCACAGCACACACACTCATCACCCTATGCTCTCTGCCATGTTCTCGAGGTCCTGCCAGTAGATCCTATGTATTGCCAACCATTTGGCATCAGCCGCTAATCACCTCTCCAACAAGTGCTACAGTCATATGGTACCTCACTGATCGTATCATATGCTATGCGTCAGACGTCAGGAGGAATGGCCAATGAATAGTGTGTACTTCTTGTTGGAACTTTGTTGTCCACGGGCACTGTACGGCGCTATATTCAAACCCATTCCAAACGTATTACTGCTTTGTGTGAACTCGCACCCCAACACATATGTATCTAACCCAATACGTTCAATTGTATTCCAGTGTATGCTCTCGCAGTGCACCCTCCCCCATCAATTGCTACGTTCATATACCAATTACAACCCCTATTTCTAAACACTCGTACAGCTGAAAGAAGACTTTGCCTCAGCCGCCGCCGTCAGGTTTATGCGCTGGTCCGAACTTGCGGATATCACGGGCGTGATTGATCTTTGGAACGGCTTGGCTGATGCCATGACCGATCCCGCGCTGACTCTGACCGGCGCCTATACCAAGCTGTGCACACTCTATATGGATGTGGGGACCACAACCATACAGACACGCACAGTAGACAGTGATGAGTGTCTTAGGCGGACGGACACGGGTCTAGATACGAACACGGATATGATGGCGCCCGTTGTGGTGTCCAAACGGTACGATGAGCTGCAGCCTGGGGCACGTGAGGTATGAGCGTGGCCGTGTGTGATAGAGGATACAGGCATACGTTTCATTTGATTGACGAATTGTGGCTGTATCTGTGCTTCGAGTACTGTGATACTTGAGGTACAAATAGTCGTGTGGATGTTTTCAAATAGGTCTTACAACGCATTATTTTGAAGTTATGAAGTGGTCCTTTGCCAGATCTGAATTCGTTCAGTACGAAGCTTTCCTGTCGTCGACCTTACTGCGGGTGTATCTGTGATACTGATGTGGTTCTCTTCCATTGCTCTCTTTTTTTTGTATGCGCTCTCTTCCACTGCAGATCTACAACCGCATTCGCAGTCACATTTCAATGGCCTTCTTTCGCAGCCATTGGTTCCCCGAGGCGGCGCAGATTGCGCTATATTTAGATCCGATGAGTCACGCCACGCGCCTGTTAAAAATGCTGTCCAAGCTCATCCACGAACAGGAACAGGCCATCTCCGACGGCAGCGGGACAGCGGCCGAGGACGCCAGCCGACACGCCGACGCACGCGCTGACACGTTCTATATGGACGTTGAGGATACAGTCAACCGCAAGGGCCGTTTGTTGAAGATGAAGCAGTTTTCGGCCCAGCTGGATGATCTCGAGGCCCAGACATGCGCGCAGATAAACGCACAGCAGCCGCAGCCCCCGCGGCTCAAGACCTTCATGGACGAGGGCGACGGAGACCTGCACCACACGCCCACGTGCGAGGACATACGGCAACGGCGCTCGGCGATGGAGATGCACTCAGAGCAAATGGTCAAGATGGAACTCACCAGCTACGTCAACGCGGCGTGCATGATCCAGGACTCCAACACCAACGGCATGGACTGGTGGAAGCTGCACTCGCTCACCAACCCCGGTCCGGTGGCCCTGGCCCGGATGTACCTGGGCCTGAGACCGACTGTGGGGCAAGTCTCCGTATACAGTATAGATGGGGTTGCAGATGGGAGTGGGGGGGTCGGCGTGGGGGGTAGTGATACGTATGCGGAGATTGCCTTTACGATCCGGGCCAACCAGGATAAGGTTCTGGTGCGTGCGAGCTAGCAGAGCGCTGGGACTACAGGTGCAGAAAAGAAACATAAAACGGTTTGTCCGAGGACTTTAGCCGGCAGCCCGTTTACGCGAATCTAGTCGTTTCGGTAACCGATCAAAATGAACTACGAACACGCCAAATACAGTGCCGCTGCCATCGCAAACACGATGGAGAAGTTGTAAACGGAACCTAATAACCGTTCATTTGTGGAGGCTATGACTTATTTTATTTAGTTAACAAAAAGCAAACCAGTTCTTCCTTGAAGCTCCAGAAACGGCACGGCTACAAATGGACACAGCAGCGAAACTGGTCGCACGATTGCAGATCACATCTACATCACTATTTGCCCACAACACTCCAAAGCCCCCCAAAACACTTGCTTCCGTGTTTAATAACACTTGCTTCCGTGTTTAATAACACTTGCTTCCGTGTTTATTAACACTTGCTTCCGTGTTTATTAACACTTGCTCCCGTGTTTATTAACAGTTGCTCCCGTGTTTAATATAGAACCACTAGCGCTTGCGCTGTGGGTCTGCAACCCCTCTCTTCAGGTGTGTGCTGTACGGAACTCAACTTCAATTACTCCAGCGGGGCTGGGGGCGTATGAGCCCATCCAGTCCACCAAGCCTTCTCAGGTCTTCCTGCGTAGGTCTACCTATGTAGGTCTACAGAGCGTCACTCTTAAGTGCGTTTGCAAACAAACGAATGCAGAGGATTTGAACACTGTGCGTAGAAGCCGAATATATACGGCTGTGTTCTCGCACTGCCGTCTGTCGAGTACGCAATACCTTTGCAGGGTCCCCGTATCAGATACTGCCCCAGTTCGAGAAGGATATCATCTCGTGGTCTGTGGCACCGGCTGCTACAGATGTGTGGCCAGAGGTGACTCCTTCAGGGTAGCAGTGGCTGCAACCTCGTAAGACGAGTCGCATCCTGGACGCTTGCTGGGTGTGATGGTGCTAAACACCACTCAGTAGCATTCCCGGTAGTGTATACCGGATTGGTTTTCTGGGCCAAGTATGTTCTAAACTGTCCTGGGACAATAAACTGTCCTATGTTACTATAACCGGGAAAACCGTCCTATATTCTTATAAACCCTATAGTAGAGGTGAAGGGGGTGTTGAATCCGCGCATAGGTGTGGGCCTCCGAATTGTATCCCACATACGCACTCACATAATAGACGATGCATCGCCGTTATCCTTTTCTATTGTATGCAGTGTGCACGAACCTGCCCCGAATACAAAAACAGGACATTCTCAGCCCAAAACACGTCCTTGAATAAAATGTCAGGACATTCTCGATCCACAACACGTCCTTGAATAAAATATCAGGACATTCTCGATCCACAACACGTCCCTAGTATAGGACTTGTTAGTTGGTACGAACACACTCGCAAGTGGTTCTCAAATACCGATCAGCTCACTAGCGAAGCACGTGTGCCCGTGCTTATCTTGTGATATGCGCTTGCTCTGGGAGTTTGGTAGGTAATGCAATGGTCGCACCCGGTAGTATGCAACTAGCTCAGAGCGCATCCCACTCAGCAGCCATCCGACGTTGCTTCTGTAGCCACGAAGCCGCACTACAATGGTAAATAAAGACAGACAATTCAATGTAGGAATCAGATACATGTCTAAACAAAACAGGACATATTCAATATAGGTATTGATTTACGTATACCGCATTCCCATAGTATATATAAATAGCAAATGCAAATAAGAATGAAAAGGAACAAGATACCTACGATATGTATGAATATATATAGATAT